GGGGGATTGCAGCGCTCCTCTCGTCGAAGCCACCGTAATTGCAGCCTTCCTATTCCCCAACACTCGCCGCATGCACTCAGCAAACAGACCGATAAACTTGGAACAAAGCCAATTTCCGTGCACCACACGTGAATTCTGCCGAAACCTCTGGCGTCTCCTCTTGTCCAGCCCTTCTAAATTACGTACTCAATCTCACTCAACCTCAAGGCGACCAAAAATCACTCTCGGAAAACTGTGTATATTTGTTGCCCGCCATTTTCCTATGCTCTCCGTCTGGCCGATCGCCTCCCATTACTCGGGGGCCCCTCCCCCCTCGTAACAGTTCGTCGACACGCATTCGCGTGGGGTCCCATCGATCGTTTTTTGTATGCGCGTACCCACCTCGCCTGCTGTGTCTCGAGCTAGAGATATGTCACAGCCTACTGCAAACCCCATCCCACGACTGATGGAACGACCATGGGCATGGGCTGTGTTGTCTCACGACACGCAGGCAGTGTTTTCTCTAAGAGGTTTGACGGTTTGACGAAGGTTGGACGCCGGCACTCGTCAAAGCTCTGCGGGCTGGAGTGAGGTTGGACGGTCAAACCTTCAAACCTAGCAGCTTCGGGGAAGAAGGTTTGTTGGTTTGACGATTTGGCCTTGATTATCTCTCCTTTTGGTAGGTTTTCCTGTGTGTTCCCTGTCTGTGTGTGCCTGCCAGTGTCTGTATGTGTGTTTGCGTGGCACAAACATTCCAATTCTGGAGCATGGCGTGTCATTTTCCTCTCTTCTCTTCTCCTTGTGGTGTGTCTCCCTCAGGTCGTGGTTTCACCAGCTCATTTTGCGTCCACACGAGGTTTGACGTGTCCAACCTCACTTGCAGCCGGCGGGTTTGACAGAGGTTTGAAGAAAATTCCTTACGTCGAACACTGCACGCAGGTGCCCGGGAGGCGACTATCTGTCGTCTCTCGCTGCGCTGTCCGCGGCACGCGCCATTCTTGCGCCGGTTGTCCATGTCAGGTGCGGAGGTTGCTGGAGCCAGCCAATTCAAATACCCATGTCTTCGTCGTCCCTGCTCGAAACTTTACCAATGTCGGAGGTGGCTTCTGAGCACCACCGCATCCGGCTCGTCGCGCTGCGCATGATGGTGCTCTCAGATTCTCTCTGCGGGTCAAGAATCGCGCAGAACGGCTGACCTCATTTTGACCCCGAGGCGCCGCGACCTCTGGTGCCCCTCCGTCGCCTCGCCGTGACCGCCACGTTGTAGCGCCTGGCCACAGCGTTCATCATCATACCATACAATCCATCACCGCAGCCATCGGACAGCACCAGTACCACGTTTTGTTCAAGTCCTCTCTCATTGACGTACCTCTCGGCCACCCCGAGCTTTGCTGCCTGACGATGAGCACCACTGTGACGCCCTCCGGATGCCTGGCGCGGTGAGTGGTCACACACGGGGCCATGGAACGATGCCCGTATGCATACGGACATTGTTCCATTCTTCTTTGCTGGATTGCCTTGCCCTTTGTTTACCGTCGATGCAGGTCTGTGTGCCGCCCGTCTGGGGTGCCATCGTAGAGCTGACTCGCTGGCGAATCGCCTGAGGTAAGCAGCAGCCACCTCACGACACACGCACATATCCATTACCCCCCATCTGTATCACCTGTATACCTGACAGAGTGGTTCTCGCCGAAGAAGACGAGTGCGTCCACCGCATACACACCGCGTTCAGCATCATCGAGCACTCCATTCACCCAGGTAGACGAGGAGGCAGACCGGGGCAAACACACCTACATATCGACACACACATGTATACCATGTATACACATGTATATGTGTATGTGTCTGTATTGTGTGTGCGGTGTCTGTACCCTTCCAGGTTGCACGTCGCACCACCTCCCGGCTCCCCTGTCCAGCCAGGGGTCCTCCAGCCACCACACCACCGCCCTCCCAAGCCCTCTACCTCTGACCCACCCCTCCTCGTCCACACTCCGCCCCCTCTCTCCACTCACTCACGATGGACGTCGAGGTCCTCCAGCAGCGATGGAGACGAGATTCAGGGTCCTCCCGCCAAGCGCACGAGGACTCAGCGGCGAGCTGCCAAGGGCCTTCCACCGATGAAGGACTGGCAAGACGGGCCGGCCGCCTCTCGTCACTTTCCAGCCGTCGAGCCAATGGAGGTCGGCAACCCTGTCCACAAACCGGGACCGAGGAAGTCATACGGAAGGCATTCGGTGGGCAGCCTTGAATTCCTCATGCCAGGCGGCCGGCTCGGAGGGGGATGGGAGGCGGCTCTGCAAGGGGCAGAGGGGACCGACGAGTGGGGGCTGTTGAGCGATCTGTACGCCACGTTCGCGTCTGTCGAAGAAGGCGTTTACTCGTGCCTCGGGCGTCATCACCTTCCGCAGCTCCCCATCGGCGTCATCCGACCATCAAACACACACACGAGGGGATACAGCTGGCCGGCAAGTGGGCACGGGTGAGCGGCCTCTCGTCACGCAAGACAACCTCTCCCAGCTGGCGCCTAACGCCGGAGAGCCCACAGCCCCCGTTCCTCGCGTCGAGCGCCACTTCAGCCCCACCAAGATGAAGCGGCAGAGCCGTTCGATGCTGCGTCGGGCCCTCCTGGGAGATGACGACTTGGTCGAGCGGACTGGGGCATGGAATGTCTTTGGCTTCCGCGGGGGCGAGGGGACAGTGAGCGCCGTGGCACGGCTCTTGGGAAGCGACCGGTGCTTCGCTGGGCGGGAGCACGTCACTCGAGAGGGGAACACAGAACGGGTAGGCATCACACAATGGTACACACGCCAGTGTTTGAATTCAGCTCTGGTTTCGTGTGTGTGTGTGTGTGTGTGCGCGCCATTCAGAACTCACTCAAGGTCGATGAGTCTTCGCCCTTCTTCCTCAAGATCTCGCCCATGCGGAGCCACCATGCTCACATCTTCGAGGCGGTCTTTGCATACCGCAGCATCAGCACAATGCCTGCCATCGCCGCCGCAGCCGCAGCACCAGCTCCAGCTCCCGCTCCTGTCCCTGCGGCCGCCGATGCTGCGCTGGCTGACGGTGCAGATGAGGACGACCCGCAGGGCGTCGGTGAAGTCCAGGTCTTCTATGCTGGTCAGCTGGGGTTGGTGAACGATCCAGACGAGATGAACAATCTGGACGATTGCCTGTGATTGACGAATGAATGTCGATTGCCTTTTCGGTTGAGTTGTTGACACTTCATGTGCGTCAGTGAATTTGCTTGCATGACAAGCAAATGAGTCAAGCATCAGTCATATGTACAATAAACGAGTCAATCAGTATATATAATCGCAGAGGGCACCAGTCAATCAACACAAATAGACAGACAGCCAGACAATCTAAAGCGTCTTGTCCTTGACCATCTTGGCCGCCTCCTTCTCTATGCGGCGCCAGTACTCATCGGTTGCTGGGACGCGTTTCGTCGGGCACCAGCATCATCGGGAACTCGATGATGGGCACGGCGGGCAGCTCCTTGTCGTACTCGTCAGGATCGATGAGCCGTGTGCTCTTCTTGCTCCCGTAAGTCAGGATGGCTCGCTCGTACTCGCCCCGAGAGGCAATGATCTGCTTCTCAATGCTCGACTCGATGATCATGCATGGCGCTCGTGCCGCGTCCCTTGGTGGTGCCGTGCATGATCAGGTCCTTGATGCGGCTGTTAAACGACTCCTGAGCCGTCATGTTGCCGACAATGCCGACAGGCCTGGACGAGGTGGTACCATGTGTGGGAAGATATCCGACCATTTCAGCCTGACAGCACACACGCACACAAACCTCGCCATCATTGACAGAGTAAGCGAATCGTACCAAATGACATACGTGTTCCACAGCTGCCAGGCGTACTGGTGGAACTTGTTGAGCTCCACCATCGTGGGCGCCCGCGACCTCAGCATCATGCGGATCATCCAGACGAAGGACATGAAGAAGAGCCGAACAGGCTTCTCTGGCCCGCTGCCGAGAGGACCATCTACTCGGCCATGTGCTCGATCCACAGCATGAGATGGCTTGCGTGTAGGCGATTATGGAAGTCCTGGTAGGTGAAGAGAGAGCCGTCCTGTTCTCCCTTGAGGATGAAGTCGTCCTCCCCTGCCCGTCTCTTGGTGCCCTCGTCCTCCTCCTCGCCCTCGTCCTCGAACTGGCGGCCGAGCAGGTCTGAGTCATCGCCATCGTCAGCGTCATCAGATGGGGCGGGCCTCACAGTGCCCTTGCGGATGGGCATGAACTTGATGCCGCCGCGGCCACCGACACCGTGGTCATCAAGCAACCCTGCAATGAATGAATGAATGAATCAATGAATCAATGAATGTAAGTGTGAGTGCTCGCAGGTCTCTGCGCGTGCCCACCTTGGACCTGGCGAACGAGGTCCGGTTCCGTCTGCTTTCTGGCCAGCTTGTAGACCAGATTGCGAAACGCATCCAGCATCTCCTTGCCGCACCGCAGCAGCAGATGAAGCAGCTCGAGGATGAAGTCATCCGTCTCCAAAATCTCCATCATGGGCTGCCGTTGCTGGCCGCGAGTGGATGCATTGCAGTCAGGTGTGTGGCGGGGCTGGCCGGGCTGCTGGCTGGCATAGTTCTCGTTCATGAAGGCAAGGGAGCCAGTGCATTTGGGCGGGATGAGCTTCGGTCGGCCTGGCCGGCCGATGAAGTAGCAGCATGCATGTGGCTGGTTGAAGTCCTGGTAGTCTATCAAGCACCGCTGACAAGGCATCCTCAGCCCGGCCCGGCCCATCCCGATAGCGCACATGACGAACTTCTGAATCAGAAACGCATCAATCAATGAATCAATGAGTGAATCAATGAGTGAGTGAGTGAATGAATGAATGAAATTACGTACTCAACCTCACTCAACCTCAAGGCGACCAAAATCACTCTCGAAAAACATGTGGATACGTATTTGTTACCCGCCATTTTCGTATGCTCTCCGTCTGGCCGATCGCCTCCCATTACTCGGGGGCCCCTCCCCCCTGGTAACAGTTCGTCGACACGCATTCGCGTGGGGTCCCATCGACAAGGAAGCGGACGCCTTCTCCGGGCGCACATTTTCTGTTCAACGACGGGGAAGAGTACAAGAATTGCGCGAACAGGATGACGGCAAGAGTGAAGCCGGTCACAAGAACAGCAATCAGAGATAAACTCCTAATCCTCATGTTTGGCAGCGGTAACAGGCAGGCTCAGACAGGACAGGCTGGAAGATCCGGGGGAAAAACAGAGGCGGAGGCGAGAGATAAAAGCCGCTCTGAGGGCGTTGACATCTAAGGAAAAATGTCACGTTAAAAATGTTAAGCTCAAAGCAAGCCTTGTCTTTGCAGCCACAAAGGGCAAGAAAGATAGCCAGTGACCAGACGATGAGCAAAAAGGTCGTTCTTCTTGGGGTTTGCACTCTCAGTGCTGTCATTTCCATTTGGTGCTACTTCTCTGGAGTGTGCAAAACAACTGTGCAAAGAGGACCGGATGCCCTGCCTCTGCTAGCCTCTGCGTTTCCCCCTGGGACAGTTCTGAGGGAATGCCTGTGCTCAAAACATTCTGACTACAACTGGCCACGCAAGATCCCGCTCTGGGTTCACTTCGTGAAGGTTGGTGCGGTGGAATGGTTGCCCGTTTATGACGACTTTATGGACCAGTGGCAGGCGATGGCGCCTTGCCACACGCTTCTACTCTGGACAGATGCAACATTGCAGCGCCCACTGCGACGAATGGGGTTGGCAACTTTGTACAACCAAATGCCGGATGGGGTGGTACGGGCAGATTTTGCCCGCTACTTGTTGATGTATATGTATGCAGGAACTATATCAGACTTGGATTTGGTGCCCACAATTCCACTGCATCGCTGGTTCCCCCGAGAGGCGTTGGACCGAGTGAATCTCATCGTTTCTCCCGAGTGTGTTTCTGACCCCGTCGCCCAAATGAGCGGCTATTCTGCAGTGCCTCATCACCCCGTGTTGAAATCTGTGATGTCAATTGTTGCGGGGAACCTTGAACAGGCAAATTTCGTAGTCCCAGCCGACCGAGTGGTGCATGTGACTGGTCCTTTCGCCTTCACATCGGCAATAAACGCTGCTCTCCGCATCTCTTGGGAAGAAGATGTGCTTTCAGTTATGAAGGCGGAGGCGTCTCCCATGCTTTTCTTCAACGAGACTGTATATGTTCTTCCCTTCGGTGACGCGAAAATGGGGCGGTCAATTCACGTGCATCTCAATCTGTGGCGCAATTCGAAACTCAAGGTGAATTGGAAGCAGTTACAGCAAATGAACTTCGTTGACTATGTGTGTGCCAAGCGCATGAAACGGGGAAGAAGCTGTCTTACTAAGCATCAGCTAGCTTTATACAATAGATTACTTTGATGTCATAGTCGCTAATCCTGTGCGTCTGCATGCATATATATATACACCATTGGCTGGCAAATCGGAGAAAACCGCCAGAAATGGTGAAAAATCTAAGACCATGCGCACATATCCACCAACACTAAAGGAAGTCTGCTCTCTCATTGGACTGCCTTCTTGTGCGGACTCTGCAAATGCGATTGAATCACGAGTCGGCTGAACCTTGTCACAAACCCTTTACCCCCTCGCCCACAGGTGAACGTACCTTGAGTTTCAGTCCCAGGGTTCAAGGTGCGTTCGGATGTGCACGCGCGACACCGTTTTGTCTGCAGATGCGGTTCTCCCGCCCTCTGGTGGATGCGATGGGAGCTCCCTTGCATTGACCTTGGACATTTCCCGATTTCGGCATGGTCGACGGTCCGGGAGGCCAAACAGCCACAAAGACAAATGCAAGCAGGTAGGCGTCCTTGTTTGCATGTCGGACTGTAAGTAAGCTCACGGATGTGCGTGTGGTCAGGTCGGTCAGCTGGATGACGAGCCCGTGGACGACCTGAGAGGCAAGAACAGAAAGAAGCGTCGCCACAACAACTCCGATGAGGTGAGCAATATTACCATGCACATCTCTGTTCATCGAACGAGGGCACCGACCGCTGTGTGTCAGGACGAGAGACCTGCTCCTGCCTTCACTTTCGCCGCCAAGCCTCGCTCAAAGCGGGTCAAGACACCAGCAGTCAAGACACCCGCACTCAAGAGGGCCCCAAAGAAGAATGCCGGGAAGAAGGATGTCGCCAAGAAGAAGGCCGCCATGAAGAAGGGCGGCAAGAAGAAGACCACCAGGAAGGCAGGGTCAGGGCAGGGCGGCGACGACAGCGACCACACGGCTCCACCCCACCCACCGCTGTCGTTCGGCAAGATGGAGCCGAGGTCATCGACGCATTTCCACAAGGCCAAGGAGGACGAGAAAATGGTAAGATGGGATGGGATCGGCAGCCTACAGACAGACAGACAGGCAGACAGGCTGGCAGGCAGGTCTCCCTCTCGCTCTCACCGTCTGTGTGTATGCGTTTATCTCTGATGCAGTATTATGTCGTGTTTGTGTGCGCCGACTTTCTGGTGATGTGCCTCGGGTTCCTCGGCCGGCACTACGGCTCGGTCATCTGTTTCGAGATCCAGCGTCGGGTGTTTGAGCGCTACAAGACCGAGACTGCCGAGTCGGAGCAGCTGAGGTTCGGCGACTGGGTTCAAACCCACTGGGCCACCGAGCTGGTAAGGAAGGAAAGCACCACTGCCGGTGTCACATGTGGTCAGGGCAAGCCCCGAGAGGCGCGTGCGGGCTACACGGGGGCCCTGTGGGACTCGGAGAAGGACATCCTCGACGATACGGTAATCAAGATAGCGTGAGGCTGACGGGATCCACTCGTGTCACAACACGCAGCACACCAGACTTACCTTCAGCTTCAACGTGCTGCATCAGCGTATGGCCCACGTCGAGGCGGTCGGCAACAATACAACGGAAACCGACACGGTGAGAAGAAGTGGCAGAGAGGCGACGGAAGATGACACATCGTATGTTGGTGTGTCGTAATGTGTGTGTGTCTGAATGTCGTCAGTGGTTCGTCCAGCTGAAGTCGGTGGAGTCAGTCAAGGAAGCTCGTATCAAAGCGCAGACAGACTACAGGCTCAGGGCAGATTTCAGAGCGAAGATAGGCCACCCGATTACGAAAAGGAAGGTGACGGCGAGGTTGGCAGCGAAGAGAGAGCACGCCGTGCATCCCGATCCGTATGGTGCACTGTCCGATCAGTCAGGCAAGAACACGGATGAATTCCTTAGCGGATGAGCGGCGATGGATGTCAGTCAGTCAGACCATAGATAATCTGTGTCGATGATGTGGCGTTTTGATACTTGTCTGGACCTCAAGCTAGTTTTTGGCCGTGACGTACATCTCACTAAAGATGGCTCTAGGGACTTCAGTGACTGACAGATAGGACAGACATGAGTGTCATATTAGGTGGGGAGGGGGGTTGGCCTAGACAGGGCAGTCAATCTGAGGGGTTCATGGGTGGCTCTGCATCGGTCTGCAGCCCGGCAGGCTGCATCCCTCGCTCCACCACCCATGAACCACTCAGATTGACTGCCCTGTCGTCGGCCCTCCGGGCACCTGCGGTGCCCTCCGGATTGAGTCAATCAACATGTACCAACTACTTCCGTGAATCTACCGGATTTCAGAGGCACTGAGGCGTTCGAATTCAACAGGACTAATACGGGCAACCCAGCCAGCAAAATCAGTCAGGATGCCCTTTCCTTTCCATCCTCTCATTTGCGAATTCTTCACGAGGAAAGCGGTATATCCTGCACCAACGACACGTCTCCACACAGAGATGAACTCATCCTTGGACATAAGGGTGTCATAAAGAGGAAGGTTGTCCACTCGCAGATCGTATGGCGGCACGATTGGTCCCTTGTTGTTCTCAAATCCTTTTTGGTGGGCAAACGCCGGGTGGATCAACAAATGATGCTGTGGCATGAGATGGATGTGTCTGGTCAAGTTCGGCTGGGCGCGGATCATTTCCGTCGGCACAAGCTGACCCCAGTCTTGGCTCCGCCGTGTCCGGGCAATCTCTTCCATCCAGGCCAACAAGAAGGGATTCCTTGGTTCAAAATTGACCAAAGGATCGTTTTGAATGTGGAACTTCCACTTCGGGTTGGCGTTGGGGTGCTGCTTGTGCTTTCCATCTACCAAAGTGAACGTGGACCCAAAATAATGTTTCTTTGTTTCCCCGGGCCATTCCAGGATGGGAAGCACATTTAGATCCTGCATGATGGGGCGCAGCATCAGGTCATCCGTGTCCATCCAGGTACCTCCCCATTTCCACAGCGCTACAAGCCGAACCGCATCGCTGGTTTCTCTCCAATCCACAGGTTGCATGCCTTGAAGCGGCGTGTCGTCAAAGAAAGATTGAGACCAAAACAGTAGATGCACCTTGGGATATTCAGTCAACTTTTCCTCCAGACTTGCCGATACAATCTTACGCTCCGTAATGAAATAGACATGCGATTTTGGTTGAAACAGGGATATACCGTTGAGCAAATGTTGAAGTTGGCGGGAGCGATAAATGTCGGGTGGTTTTCCGCACCACATAAGAAAAATATTGTCGATCGTGGGCGTAGGATGATCAAACGAAGGAGACGGCGTGATGCGTGGATGTCTTGCGGATTCCTCAACGTCGCGATGTACTAGAGTCATTGTCGTCATGAGCGGCAGCTCATTACCTTTCCCGAATGTCACAGCAAAAGTCCAGGATGGTGATTCGGAGTCCGACTGCTGCTGCTCCGGCGGCCGAGAGAGCCGTCTGGGAAAAGGGGCCAGGCCGACGGCAAAATAAAAAGAAGTGTCTCGATCCTGCACGGCAATTGGATCCACTGGCATGATGGACCGACAGCGGGGAATCCATGCATCATAGCTCGGATGTCTCTCCGCATTGAAGATCACAACGCGATGATCATACCAAAGGTGTCCTTTGATTCGTTTTTGTTGATGAACGATGGCCACCATCAGGGACTTCTCACTTAGGGGTTGCTGCATCAAGGCATCAATGGCATGTGGACCATTCAGCCCCCAATCCAATGGCACGAGTTGAGAGCTCCCACGCCACTTGGTACTCTTGAGAGTTTGACATGATCCTGGCGATAATGACATGGATGTACGCCAGACGGCTTGACCATTAGTTGTATCGATCCCAGATACTAACGGTCCGCCATTATTCTCGGCCCCAAAATCCACAAACACGTTGACAGTCGTCAGATCAGGAAGGGGATATAGCATCGGCACGAGGTTTTTGCGGGGTACCCGGTCTTCGTCCATCACAAGTTCTACGCCGCTTAAATTGTCGGTGCACGAGCCGACACAGTTCGCTGCCATCATTTGTACGCCTTGATATCCTGAGGGCTTAGGCACGCAACATCGAATCTCGATCGAGAGGGGCTGCCCATCCATTCCGTGTGGATACCGCTTATCATGAGACGCCTCACATGGCCGCGGACATGAAGCCCACAGACTGTCGTCGAACCGCAGCGCGTCCATCCTGAAAACGCGCTGTGAGTAATTGGCCGTCATTCTGTATCCTGCCCGTCTCCAGTGGCCTCGTCTCGTTCCCCCTGAACCCGCCAGAGCAAGCTCTCCATCCTTTCCATGTCGGGTCAGGAACAGACGCACGTCGGCCACCTTTTCACCCCGCATGTTTTGCACGAAGATAGGCTCTACAAGCCAATCGTCAACCTGCACAGACAATCATGACAGAGTATCTTCGCAAGCCTACATTTACCTGCACGGAATGTGATCGCCCGTCAAGAATGTGTTGCAGCCGCTGAGGCCGGATGAAGCCGACGAAATTGTGAGCTCCATACGCCGCGTTGGGAATGCGTGCAAACCATGAGATGGCCAACACCCCCTCCAGACAATAGGGAGAGACACCCACAAATGAGGAACAGAGCGGAGCCCATGCAGATTGTGGAACAAAGAGGATGGAGGGGTTGTACGGAAGCCATTTCTCTTGACGAAGGTAGGACCCGCCCAGGGTAATATGCTGTCCCGATTGGATTAGACGCAGCATGTCTGCGGTCGTCATCGGGATCGCCGCCGGGGGGGCCTGCGATTGTCTCGGGATTGCACCTCGAGTCTGAATCAAATACCAGCCCAGCCATTGGCAACCCAAAAATAAACCCAGAAATAGACACAGGGGCCACATCCATGGGACAGCAGGCCGCGGGATAGATACAGATTCCGACTGGACTGGACTGCCTTGTGCCATCCTCGAGCCGATCAGCTCGCGAAAGAGAACGGCTATGGAACCGCCGAGTGGGGAAAGTGAGCAGAAACAATGCAACAGAGCAACCCGCTCATTCGAAACCCCGGCGACAGTTAGGCCGGGGGATGCACACGACGCGTTAAATCCCCATTCTAGTACATGCGTTAAATCCATTTCATAAGGGCTATCATGCATACACAATTTCCTTGCATAGTGTGGCACCCTCAATTTTTATGTTTAGTTGCTTTGTTTTAAATGCTTTGCCGGTTTTTAAATATTCTTCGGCACATTTGGGACGTTTTAAAAATGCGCGAACAGGGGAGGAGGCTTCAACGGGGTGGGTTTGAGGCCCTCTGGCAGCTAAAGCAAGCAACCGCAGGCATAAAAATTTGGGTTGAGTCCACGAGACCGCCATAGGCTCCTTCTGACTACGGTGTGTGTTCAGCACACAGCAACTTCAACTCCAACAACCCTCCAGCTCAGCTTTCAGCTGTAGTGTGAATGCATTACATCCGTGTCGTAGCGTGTGTGGCATCGCTATCGGCTTTCCTTTCTTAGCAGATTTCGTATATGGACGTTTCTTCAGGCGCTTTTCCAACGTCAACACAGACCCCATGATCACAACCAGAGTGGAGCGGATGAGATGGCCTCCATGTCCTGTCCAAAGGATGCCCTGGTTTTGGCTGCCCTCGAAAGCGACGAATTTCGGAGACGATTACAACCTTGACCTTGGTGCCGCACTGCTGCACCGGGCGCCACTTCGTACCTATTCTCCGTCATCCTCGTATTCTAGTGGGTTGTGGATGACTTCGGATCGCGAGGTATCTCCCAAGGTGGTGGCCTGTGGGTCGGTGCTTCCTGTGGTGCGCAAGGGTGACGTGGTGGCTGGTCCCGGGGGATATGCCATGCAAAGGGGGATCAATTTTGACGCCTTGCGTGATCCCAACACAACTATTGCAAGCGTCCGCGGTCCAGATACCGCCTCCCTTCTGCGCAACCACTCGGTAGATCATTCTGACTTCCTTCCCAATATCGACCCAGGACTGTTGGCGGGGACTTTAGTGTGGCCTCATTTACGCAACAAACCACAACGTGGCTCGACGGGCGCTTCAGAGAAACCTCGCCGCGTGTGCTTGATTCCACACGGCAGCGACGTCGCCTTTGAGCGACACGCTCGTCGGTTTTGGACCGACATCCACATACTTTCTGTTCATCAACGAGCCTCGAAAATGGCGATTGCTATGGGGGAATGCAATCTGATTTTGTCTACCTCTCTGCATGGGCTCGTGTTTGCGGACGCCTTTCAAATTCCATCTATTTGGATCCACAGCAAAGGCACATCCCAGAAACCTTTTAAATTCAACGACTACTTCGCATCTTTGGGACACCCCCGCAACCACTGGGCGCCTAGTATTAAGGCCGCACTGGATATTCCTCAACAATATACTCGCCCTGTATTGAGCGACGTCGTGTTCGAAGACCTGGCCCGTCATTATCTTGAATCGTTTCCCTTCTCGCGAGTTTGTGGCAAGGAAGTAGAATAGTGCCATTTTGTCCTGCGTCTGGTAAACTTTCGAGGGCTGGCTCTGTGTTGACGGAGCGCAGAACGATGGTCGCTTGCATGCCGACAGAGCATTGAAGGGTGTATCGTGAACTGATGCGTTCGTGTTTACTTCATGGGAAACGAAAGAGAAAACAGCCGGCAACGGCGCTTTTGGTGGATTTTCCGGGTCTTTTCGGCGGTTCGAAGTGCTCCGTACAGATATCGAAACGCAGATTTTCAAAAAAGTTGAGACCTAGACCCAAGACCGGGGCTGTATAACCACAAGTAAGGCGCCCAGCAAGCTGAGCGCGGTGCACGACCCCCACAGTGGATGGGGCGATTGCGCGTTTGACGGAGAATGCGGATGTGTCCAAAACACACGTCGATCACACCATCCATTGCGATGAATTAAGAACACATACAATTGCATGCATCTCCTTCTCCCTTTTGTAGCTGTGTGTGTATGTCTCTGTGCGCGGATGTGTCAGGTGGGAACACTAACAGGTGCACAGGTAAGGACAAGACGCACAGCACAAATCATGAAGTGGGGGGGAAGCGCGGATTACGAGGGCGACAGACAAACAGCGCAGATCAACAAACAAGTGATTCTCCGCTAAATCGTCTACAAATGACCGGTGAGAGAAGAGTGTGCCTTCTTGATGTCGAGCCTATTGGCACGATAGTCGATTGGCCCACGCTCTTGAGGAGCTTGCCCAGAGTCGTGACGACAGCAGCCCATCGTGAGACGGCTTCCTTGTCATGTCTTTGTCGTTTGTGTCGATGACGTCGCCGAACTCTGCAGACACAGATGAGAGAGGCGTCGTTGTGTGGGAGATGTGTGTGTGTGTGTGTGTGCGTGGGTGGGTGGCGTGTGTATACACGTGGTACCTCACCTGATGTCGATCCGCGCTGGCGACCCTGACCACTGCAGGCCACGGCTTTTTCACCGTCGTTGGTGACGGCACACCTGATGCACGTAGAGATCTCATGCAAGCGACACCAGCAACGCACAGCCAGATGGTCGTCATGTGGAAGCCACGATGCTCCTCTGTTTGCCCTTGTTTACTTGGCTTTGCCATTCTTTGCCATCGGGCAAGCGAGTGGGGCCGTTTACCATAAGCCCTTCTTAACTTAGAGTGCGCAGCCACTTGAGGGTGTTCTTATCTCCAGGAAGTTACGACCGAAGTCGCCTGATTCTTATGTAATGGTAGGAGAGGAGGGGCAAGGGTGGATGTATTACCTGCAGCAGACAGGCACGCACAAAGCACCACACGTACGGGATGGATGAAAGCCTTCTTCAGGCCTGCCTACCATTGTCTTTGCTTAGACGTATGGTGGTCGTTCGGGCGACAAATCGTGTCTTTTCGACCAGGCAGAGATCGATCGCCTGACTGACCAGCCACACAGACAGACAGCCCGACAGACAGCCCGACAGACAGACAGCCAAGGAGAGTGAGGGAGGGTGCTGTGTTTATGGATGTGTGTGTGTTCGCGTGTGACGGCACGCCTGATGCACGTAGAGATCTCATGCAAGCGACACCCGCGACGCACACAGCCAGATGGTCGTTATGTGGAAGCCACGATGTGCCATTCTGCTCGTCATTCACGACCCGTCGCCGGTTGTGTCTATGAGGCCTGATATTGTGTGCGCCCAAGAACAGAGCCACCGAGCTATTGGGCCATCGCATCAGAAGCTTGTCGAATTGTGCCTTCCATGTCTCGGCACCGACAGGCTCGAAGGGCTTCGCATCGTCTTCAAAAAATATTGCCGTGTCAACGTTATCTTCGATAGCACGATCGACCGCGTGGATACTGCCGGCAAGAATTCCTAGTCCTCGTCTCGGCGCGCGGAACGTCTTGATTTGCTGCATATCGAGCTCAGGATACGCGGCTGTCCATTCCCTCAAAAAGCGAGAGTAACGTCCGGGTTCGCCAGCAGCCTCGGGCAGAGTCATCACGTACCCACGACGTATCGCATGTGGCATCCCTTCGGAATCCTCACTTAAGCCACAGCTGTTCGTGAAGTTGCCGGGTGTCGACAGTCTGAACAGGAAAGGGAAAGAGATCGGCGATGGTAAGACAGAAGGACCTGGTGTCCACTTGATGCCCACATTCACCTCTTTGGAAACAAGTGCCACGGAAAGGCTGCAAACAGTGCACGGTAATCAAAGTCGACAACTGGAGGCATCGGTCCCATGTCCAATGCTTCTTGGTACGAGGTCGCTGGCTGAAAAGTGCGATTCGTTGCATAATAGTAATCCTTGTACTTGTGAAGCCGTCCATTCGAGTTTGTCTCCAACATCAGCCGCGAAGGAATCCCAAATGATTCAGCAATGATCAACCCATGCAGTGACGAGCTCACGACAAACGCGCACCTGACCAGCTCGCTCAGCACTACCTTCCAGTCCTGCATCGGTGTGATCACGTGACCGGGATACTCGGATTCATTCAGGCCCCGGCGAATCTCCTTAATTTGAGGGACATAACAAACATCGTATTTGGGTGGCCAGTGAAGTTTGAATTCGGGGAAAAGACACGGCACGAGCATGCCCGCATCGCCATACACCACAGGCAGAGCCTCCGCATCACCATATCCCTTCTCAAGCAAAAAGCTTCGTGTCTCGGGACCTCGAATGGCAAACAGAGTCACGTTGCTTGGGAGTGGTCGTCTCAGCGTCTGTTCGCCCAGCATTCCAATCAACCAGCCGTAATCGCCAGAGCGGACAAAATGCAGTACAGAGCCAATGGGAAGTAAACACTTTCCTCCCCGACGGCTTCGCAGGTTTCGCCACGGAAGTTGGAAGCGGCGACCGAGCATTCTCTCCACCAGAGCCAGCCCAATGTCATCACCGAAGTTCTTTTCGTTGGAGTATGTGCAGACGGCAAAGCCGAGATCAAGTGGGAGGGATATCCATGAGGCATTTGCCAGTGACTCTTCGAGGCCTGGCACCTGGACACTCTGGCGCACACACCCTGGAATCGGTGCCGAGGATGCTCCTGGGACGCCTTTGTCTGGCGTAGCTTTGGAACCCTCACTGAACCTGTTCGTAAAATTGCCGATTGCTGACGATCTGAATAAAAGAGGGAGAGGGACCGGCGATTTGAGATACCACAGCTCCTCCCGAAAACACAGTGTCAACAGGACAAGAACCGAAGCAGACAGCAGAGTAAAACAGGAAGACAAAGACAGCATCAGCACTGATGATCACTCTACAATCCGCCAGAAGGCGACCGTTAACGCACAGACTTCCTTCAGCTTTGACTTGATATTTGTGTGAGCGTCTGTGAACTTCAGTGTGAAGCAGCATCTCGACGACCTCTCTCAAAAAAAAGGCTGCCATTGTTTGGGAATCATTCTAATCCCGTCTTGGAAGTGGCTGAAATTCAGCAATGAGTAGGAATAGCACAGTGCACATGACATCTCGTCTCAAGCGTGGTGGACGGAAATCAGCATTGAAGATTCGCCCATCCATATAGACCGCTGCCGTCTCTGAGGTGGTCGGCCCCTCCTTCTCCCTCCCCTCTCTCCAGGACCTTCTCTCGAGACTGCAGGTTCGGCTACAGCAGCGCCTGACCGATCAACTGCACAAGTTCCGCTTCAACGAGCTCTTCAACTCCCGCTCCCCCGACAGCAGAGCCCGCGCCCGTCTTCTGAGCTGCCAAGGGCCTCTTTCGTCTGGTTGGCTGTCAGCAATCCCTTCCAGCGATAGCAAGACACTGAACAACTTCCAGTATCGCCATGCAGTCGCCGGGTGCTCCGGCTTTGCCGTCCCGCACGCAACCGTCTCGCAGCGATGCATCTGCGGCGGGGAGGTGGACAAGTTTGGCGATCACTTCTACGTGTGTCACATCGGCCGTGAGCGGGTCACGAGACACAGCAATATGCGCAACTTGTTTGTTCGCATCCTGGCTGAGGCATATGTCCCTTCCAATGTGGAGGTGTCTCTGCGCAGCCTCGGCATCACCCCGCCCGACGACAACCCCAAGAGCTAGCGGATGGGCATCTATTGTGTGATCGACGGCAGTGAATACTTGCTCGACGTCACCATCGCCCACCCCTGCCGGCCTGACGACTCCCCCATTCCCTTCCACCGAACAGTCAACCGGCGCACTGCACAGCTTCCGGGTGGCAAGGCGGCTCAGCTTGCGGAGAAAGACAAGATCGACAAGTAGTACCCGACCGCCCAAGCAGCCGGCTTCCGCTTCGTGCCTCTCGCCGCTGAAAAATTCGGCAGGGGGCAGAGAAGACCATAGACTTTCTCAAGATGCTCGCCAAGCGGAAGCCCCGCCACACATCCATTCCCATGGAGGAGGACACAGCTCCCCGAGAGAGCATCGTCAACCACTGGAGCCAGCTCCTGTCCGTCGAGCTGATGAAGCACAACGCGTTTCAAGTGGCGAGTCGTGCGCAGCTCGCGGCGGCCGCCAGAGGGCCACGGAGGGCCAGCGCGTTTCCGGAGGATGTTATGGTGTGCTTGTGATAGCCACTTGGGGGTGGTGCTTCTGCAGTCAGAGAGACATTGGTGTGAGGCGTGCATTGGTGCACCTGTTGGCCCATCCATGGGGAGTCTCTGGCAGCCCCGTGAGGGAGGCCTTTGCATTGGCCTCGAGAGCATTGCAAATACGGCCTTTTGTCGTTCTCACCGGATTGACAGCCATGGCTGCAAGACGCACACACACATCAAGGAGCACAGGAGGGTGCATGTTTGTCTGTGGCGTTGGCACGTAGTGCGAGTATGTCTGTGTGTGGTGGGCGACGCCACTGGAGGATGCGCCAGGCGGGCGCCGAGGATGGTGCTGGTATGTTTGTCGCGTGATCATTGAGAGTAAGTCGATTGAGACAGTTTATTTCATGAGAGACCGACAGACTTTTCCTGTCGTTCTGCTATGTGTTAGTCCATCTCCCCCCACATGCACACGAGTGGGCCGTAACATATACTGCAATGGCAGACACACACGGACGACAGTCGAGTGTATGCACAGACGCGAAAAGCAACCCACGTCACACGACTTCTGAGTGCCTAATAGGCGGGAAGCCGTGGTTTCGTCGAATAAAGCGGAAAGGGAGGACGATATATTCTCTGCATGTAGGCATGTTTTCTGAATCTTTTCTTGTGGCAGTGCGTTTCTCGTCTGCGTGACCTGTTGAAATGTGAGAGCTTGCTATCTGAAGTATTACATCGTAATGAGGTGATTTTGCGAGACGATGGCATTCATAAACTATTTACCTTGCCCTACGTCAGTCAACACGCTCCACTGGCTCTGTTCCTTTTTTCAGACCACACTTCATATTATACGCACACACGCGCATCAGTGCAACGTCAGTCATACCACACGTTCGCGACGCTATCCATGCCCCTTTCACATCCGGATGGTGTGAGATAAGAAAGTGTCGCTTGGGTCAAAGACCCAGGACACATGCACACACTCCTTGTCTGCACACGAACTGAAGCGAGGGCACCCACACGGTCAGCCAGACTCCTCCCTGCGATCCAATTGCTGTGATCAACACTATTCCCCCGTCTCCTCCCCTTCCAAGACGGGAGGAAATACTTACAGAAAATGTAGTTGGAGAGTATCATGCAGGAAGGCACACCGAAAGAAAAAGGGGAACACAGAAATATTTCAAGACACATCTGCACTTGTAGTGCCACTTAAAGGTCTTTGCCACACTTCGTGTCTCGAACTCCCCATTGACTGTTCTCCTCGTGTGAAACGTAATAGCTGCGTCGGCTCAGGAGCGCATGTTCTAGGCACGACAAGCAGCGGAAGCTGTCGATGATGTGTCGATAAGACAGGGACGAGATATACACATGTCTCTAAGCGAAAAGTCAAATCACAAAAGCGAGAGCACACACAGCACCTACCCAACATCCTTCTCTCCAGCACCCGCCCCCTTGCCCCCATTTGACACTTTCCGGCATGACCCACCTCCACAACTGGAAACTGACCACTGAAAACTGACCGCCACGTGAAATTAAGAGTGAGCTTCGACTGTAAATGAATGGTGATACATGAATGAATAGAAAGTATGACGAGACAGCTGTGCACCACTCGTACGTGAACATGAAATCTACGATAAAATCTACGTCTTATCTCTGACAATTGTGATGTGCTGAAGCCAAGGTCCACTGGGCCAGCCTCTGTCTACACGTAGCACAGCGATACAAACGCCACTGCCTGTGTGGGGCTCTCCGAGAGTATTGGTAGGCACGCAGGACACACATACGTACAATTCCTGTCTGTACACGAAAAATCAGAGCACAGCCACGACCACCCAGACTTCCTTCCGCGACCAGCCAAGTTTCCCATCTCCTTTACCCTCCGGTCTGCAGTCTGTAGAAGAAAACACCAGAATGCAACTAGGCCCCAGACAACACGAAGGAAATGGTGGCGAATGTGGTGGGAAAAGGTCACGCAGGCACACAGAAAGGACAACACATGTATGAGAGAACTTCCAGGCAGTCAGCCACTGGTCTAGTGTAGGGAGCTGGCAATCAATGTCCAAATCGGATGGAGTAAAGAAGAAGAGAGCACCAAAATCCGGAGGGTTGCGAGGGCTGCAGTCGTGCGTGGCAAGGACAAAAGGGATCGTCGAGCAAACAGAGGTGTAGGAAACGGAAGGGGCACAAAAACAAGGACAAGACGACAGCTGCAATAGTGAGACAGCAAGAGAGATGGAAAGTTAGCCTCATCACAATGAGCACAATTAGCCCGAGAGTGTCAAAACCAACCATATCCACAGCATCCCAACAAGGCGGGGGTGTGACCCACCATACAGCGTCAGGTCAATTCTGCTTTTTGTGTTTTCGTTGCTTCTTGCCCTTCATGTGGTTCGCCTCCGACTGCTCACCACCACGATTAATTTTTGGGGTGTCCCACGGCACATTCCCGTTTTGCTGCAGTTGCCTGCTCTCGCTTCGCGCCACCTCTGTGGTGTTGGAGCTGACTGCAGCCAACCGACGACCCTCCGGGCAGCCAAGGTTGTCTGGGTCAGACTGAGAAGGAAATAAAACACGTAATCATCATTCCTTTGCATTCACGTAATGATTTGGAATAACTCACGAGGGAAGAACAGAGGAAAAAGGGGCTCGTGTCTTCATCTCGCTTCCTCACGAACGATTGTCCCCTCACTTTGATCACTCCTTCCGTGTGGCCAATCTTGCCGATCCAAAGGAAGAGATTGCCCCTTGGGTCTTCTTCGAAGCTTTCAAAGTCAAGGCTGCCAGCAGATCACAGAACGAGTAAGCGAAGCCACAAATGTAACATGAACATGAGACATACCAGCATGACTGAAGATTCACGCTTGGAAAGGGCCCTCCGTTGATCTGCAGGTCTTCTGCGAGCTTGCTGTAGAATACAGCAAATCCGTCGAAACCCCTTTCGTCTGTGGTGGCAGGACAGGTGCCTGGCAGGAACGCACAAATAGACAGTCGATGAAGCCAGGCAGGGACGCGCACACGACCACTGACCAGTACAGCACTCCTGGTTGTTGAAGCCCCAAATGATGGATTTGACAAACTGAAAACAGCGACAGGATTGCGTGTGGAAGGACGATGTTTTCAACAGTGTTGCCTTCCTTACCTCTTCAGTGTTGCTTTCTATTTCTGCAGCAAGGATCTGAACGATTGGAATCGCACTCTGTTCCTCTGTCACTTCGCTTAGCCTACCTCCCACTGAACGTCGACGACATAATCGCTATGAGGAGGCAGATGCTCCCGAACATCTTTGAGGATCCCATCTTTTTCCTCCAGGAATGAAAGTCGGTTGACGACAAGATCGGTCAGACCTGGGTTGGAGAACGTTTTTGCCGGAAGATCTTCCGGATCGAAGAGGTTGAAAACGTCTAAATGAGATTTCACAGAAAAGTTCACGAAAGCCTTTCCCGCCTGAGAGATCGCTCCTCACCCGTGCCACATATGGTATCATCCTCGTCGACTTCACCCGCGACGAACTCCTCACCGGTGACAGTGGTGTCCTTGTCGACGTAGCCTAGACACGTACAAGACAGGATAAAAGACGAACGAAAGACTGCACACGTATGTACCTAATAGGCGGGGCGCCGTGGTATCGTCGAATCTAATCGTCCTCTCAAATCCACACGATTCTTCCGTCTCGGAATCGCACAGTGTGACATCGTCACCTGGCTTGCGGGCATTCGTCACACGGGTGGCGAGAAGGTCGTAGAATTGGGCCGAGTCTCTATCAGGATCGCTGAAATCGACCGAGTCTCTAATAACGGATGGCGGGCACGTCAACTGCGGCGAAAGGGACAGGAACAGACCGTCGTTGAGACGAAAGTAACCAAGTGTAGCTTTCCTTTGTCGTGTCTTTCCCGTCCGCAGACGGATTCAACAGTTCATCAGTCCTCTACACAAACATAGCGCTACCACAGTCATCACATACGGATATGATGTCTCGTGTCTTACAAGTTGATGCTCGCGCGAGGGGCAGTCTGCAGCACGAAAGCTTATACAGCACGTGGCATACATTTCTCAGATTCGGGACACCATGCCTTTACTCTTACTTGAGAAGAAACACTCGCCATCCAAGGATTGCTTCATGGCAACATCGTCCCTCAAAGTCCGATGGAAACGCCAAACGTCGACGAAACAGCATTCCGCTGCGGTACACTCCTCTTCCTTCACTTCGTTTCCGGCAAAGGATGAGATGCAAACGCGTGCGGGGTCCTCCTTGTCCGGCCCGAAATCCTCACAGAAGAGAGGATGGGCTTGTGTCAGCCGGAACACCACGACGCAGAGGTTAAGGAAAGCGAGGAAACACGCCGCCCGTCCCATTTTCGAGCTGAAAGCAGAGGTGCTTGTCGAACTTTGAAATGTCTATGGAAATCTTTTCTCACAACGCCAAGCGTTTTCCCAACGCCAAGCGTTTTGCCCCAACGCCGAAAACGTTAGTTGGTAGGTAAATTGTCACACCCAAATAAGCACAAAAAGACACTTATTCACCCACCTAAAACAGGTGAATAAGGAATAGAAACAGGTGAATAAGGAATAGAAACAGGACCGAAACGTGTAATATGTGTGAGACATGAACACATGTCACACTCGCACCAGATCGAGGAAAAACATGAAAAGACCCCACGAACAAAAGCAGCAAGGTCCGTTCGCTTCCTCCTTTCTCTGCTGTCGTTATTCCCCCGTGGGAGAGCGGGCGACACTGCTTCCGTCTGCATCCACGTCTATATGCTTTCATTTCACCACCACCACAGCCGCTTTCCCACTCCTCGGCCAGATGTATCCGTGTATGACCGGTCATGCTCGAGCCCTCCCAACTCCGTTGAGGTGAGCAAACATCAGACAGAAGACAGAGACGTTGAGACACATCGAGATACATTTCTCCCTCTCCGGCACTGGCGGCCCTGGGGTACGGCCTTCATACCCGGGGGCAGTGAGTGACAGCAACCTATCCCATCCCACAGGCCACGTTTAGATACAAGGAGGTGACGAGACAAAGGAAAGTGAGTTGCAAGCAACATGCATTCATTGTCGTGTCTTAGCGTGAGGGGATTGTCGGGCTAAAGGCCGATAAAGGTCCGGCAACACCGGGACTGCTGTCACGGCCTCAGAACGGAGTTGAGAACTACAAGAAGGCGGCCCGCAGCCAGCAGTCGGCGATTTCCTCTTGTGAATGCTCTTGTGTCACCTAGTCTGTCCGTTCGTCACATAAGGGAGGTTTTGACTGTGCATCCACCGGCCTGAGTCGCCGAGGGATGGATGCGTAGTCCATTTGACAAGGCTGTTGCTCTCACTCACGACAATACCCAAATCAACTTCCTCAGTCTTCTCTCCTTCGACACGAAACAGCTCACCCACCTCCTCGGGACCATCCAAAACCTTCCTGCCCTCACGAAGGGCGATCGATGTCTCTTCGTTGACGTGGGCAGCCTTGGGCCGAGGACTGAGGTACTCATACTGGCCCCCGCCGTACGGACGGGTGTCTCCTTCCTGGACGAATCGTTTTCGGTCGTCCAGCCGAAGTTCAAAGGGATTCCGGTCTGATTGAGTTTTCGCAGTCTTCGATGCACGAACACTCGATTCCGAGGACGGCACAGTCAAAGATGCACTAAACAACACGAGGAAAAGAGCCATCGGGCAGCGGAAAATGCAGTTTCTCGGTGTGAAGGCGTCGCTGTCTTTGTGGAAACGTGTGAGAGAAACCTCTGCTCTCATATGTCTCTCTCTCTTCTTGTGTCGTCAATGGATGAGTCACAATCGAAAATCAGGGAAAACACCGAAAAACCGGTGTGTAATGGAAAACTGGCTGTTGTGGCGGTGTTTGAGATCTTTTTAGCAGTACTGGCAGGCAGAGAGTCTGTCGGTCTCTCATGAAATTAACTGTGTCAATCGACTTACTGTCAATGATCACGCGACAAACATGCCAGCACCATCCTCGGCGCCCGCCTGGCGTATCCTCCAGTGGCGTCGCCCACGCAACAGACAAACCGAGAACGGACGCACCCCATCACCTGGCTTTATGACTTGTCTGCCCACGCAGCCTTGGTGCGCAGCTTCTCAACCAGGCGGCTGAAAAAAGCATTGGCCTCTCTACCGACACACACCATCCCCTTTGAGATCTTTTGAAATTACTGCTTTGGGTTTTGGGGGTTTGCGGGGTTTTACAAAAGAACGCAGACATCAGCCGCATGCCCATGTTCGGACAGGCCTATGTGCAAGATGAGCTTCAATATTGTTGTCGTATTCAAACCACAATGTCTGATTGAAAGAACAGAGTGTATTCCTTTGTTTTCCACCGTGACGTCGTTCCAGGTGCGGAGAATACGGTGGAAGGAAGCTCCTGCGTTAACACCATCATGTCAATAGAAGGAAACAAATGAAGACAACGGAGCTAGCTGACTATCTCGTCTTTCTCTGATCCCCTTCATCCTTAGCCGGGCAGCTTGGCACATAGAATCGGCCAGCTCTTGCAAAAGCCCTGTAGAGGTCGTGGCCGCTTCGACTTTCCAAGTGGCTTCTTCTCACTATTAACATCCGCACCAGCTGCGTGTCCACAGGACTTGTTCCCGGCCATTATCTTCCAGCCGTCTCCAGCTCTGGGTGCCTTTCCTACGACAGGCTCCCTATCGCTCTTGAGAAAGCACATCCCATCATCTCCCAGGCCTACGTGGACCCAATAGTTGCACTCCTCCGTGGCTGCGCACCAGTCGGCACAGTCCAGGTACTCCGGGTACCCATGAGTAGCCACCTCCAGATCGGCACCGGGCGCGTAGTCGAGATTCTCCTCGATAACGCAAGAGCGTAATCTAGGTTCTCGTCGGGGACGCTGACCTTGGCCGACGACGTCCATGATAACCACAAGCCCGTCACCCTTCTTATTCTCGCCCCACAGCTTGACATCGGTGAGTTTCGTGCCATTGATTCGCTGAACGGTTTGAACGACGGGCTCCTCGTACTCCCCGTCGTCGCTCATATACTTAGTGAAGAGGAACGTTGCAGTGTAGTTCTTGGACGTATCGAGAAAGTTGAGGGGGATGAAAGGGATAACGCGCGTCTCCACTGTTCCGCTCACGACGCCCAGGAACCATGTGCTATTCGACCGTCTCGCCAGCACGGTAAGGTCTCCTATTATTGATGGAGGAAGGACCCGTGTCTCGTCCCACACTGTCGGAATCTTCATAATGATGTCACGATAGCTTTGCTCGAGAATTATTTCGGGGTCTTCGACGATGGTCTGCAGGGGTGAAGTGAATGTAATTAACGTCGCGACCTGATGGACCTGGGGAAAGTGGCAGGCATTGGGGGCCGATCGACGACGGATCTCCTGCCTTCCATTATCTTGCTGCATTGCAAACTTACTAGAGTTGTCGCGCCTCTGAGTGTTTGCAGCGAGAGTGGCGTGTAGTCTCCAGCACCACTTGGGAACCTTCAGGCACATGCACGGATCAAATTGGTCTGTCTTATGACTGTTTTCATCTACCTCGTGAAGGTGAGTGCAGCGTTGTGTGATGGTGGAATCTTCGTGTCAATCATGGGGTGCGCGTTGACCTGCAAAGGAGACAAAAGATCCACAATGCAGAGCGCTGGTCTCTCCTGCGTGAGAGATCTATCTGTGTCGCCACCTCCAAACCCCAGATGGCCTCTTGCGTTATCAGATTCGGATACGTTCGTGCTTCGCCCGTGGTCTTATCTACTCCGTGAAAGTTGAGCAAGAGCTTGCGTTTCTGGACAAATGAATCCATTGACTTGTCCTGCTGAGCTCGTTTGTTGGCCAGCTTGGCCTCTTTTCTTGCAGAGTGTTCTCTTACAGCTGCTTCGCGACAGATGGTTTCCTGCAGCACGATGGTCGGTAAAGTGCCGGAACCGAAGAAATCCATCTGCATCAGGAGTCACGCAGGACATGATATACTAACCTTCAACAGTCAGTGCACTTCACCTACCTTTACGCCAACAGCGCCTGCATCCTCGACACTATCGAGAAACTCCCGAAGGTCTTTGTAATTGTCGGTTGGATCTTCAATGTCTCCGCGGTGTTTCCACAGGAAGACGCCCACCCCCCTCTCTTTGCCATACGTTGTGAGGCTCTTGACGCTCCCCCATTTGTCGGGCCACTCTTCCCAACCTGTGTCGGATCAACAGGTTGACACTCTCGCCCAATTGATTTGGCATATGATCATCTTTCGTCTCCACCTATGTCTACAGTTGCGTATTCAAAGCCAAGCGCGTCTGCGGCATCGATGTAGGCCCATTCAATCTCACGGGGACGGTTGTGACACCCACTGGGTGCGGCCTGGTAATGTCCATTAACCCATGCAGCAGCCATAAGCATTAGTGTACGATCATTACCAGGCAGCTCCACACAGACCTACAGACAAGAAAAGTCATGGAGTCAATGATGAGAAAGCAAAAATGGCCAAGAGTTCCTGGATGTTGGTATCCTGAGACCCACCTTCCTGGTTTAATGTATGTTGTGTCATTGAAGAGGCCCGGATTTCGCGCCTCCGGGGCCTCGTTGAGGCTGCTCAACATGTCATGGTCGACCAGCTGGTCCAGGTTTGCCGCCAATTGGATTACTCGCCAAGACGTCTTGACAGGAAGCTGGAGCTCCAAAGGTCCCCACAAGCCCCTGTACTCCCGTACGCTCTGCCTCACTCTCGTAAGCTCGCTTCTGAAGCCGACGCCATCAGGCAACGCGACGAAGTGAAGGCCCTCCCACCCAAGGAGAGCGGCCCTGTGGCATACACAAAGCCATGCACGGCACACTACACAATACATGGCTCACTCGGCTATCACACGGTAAGGGAAGGGACCCTGTTTGTCAAGATCCTCAATGGTTACAGGGGGAGAGTAACGATCGATTGTGATCCCGTCTTCCAGATGCCGGGACCACAATGATGCTGCTGGAAAACTCATGTACTGACCATTGGCCGACTGCATGTATTACAGACGAAGACAAAATGCGTGCGTACTGGATAGATTTGTGTCCCCCACTTTTCTTACGAAGTGGCCGCCTGCGAAGAATATTTGGTCTCGCCTTTCTATCTGTGTCAAGTGGCAAACGGAGGAAGCAGTTCCCGTTTGTCTCTGCATGTGGTGTGGCTGTATGGTTCTCACAATCCAAGCTCTATCGGTTGCTTCCAGTTCCATCAAGATCTCAGACCCGTCGTCCTGAATTTGGACGCGGTCGCCCCAGCCCCCCTGCAGCGGGATGTGATAAGAGAATGCCACGCCTGGGCTGTCACCACCGAACACACGAAAATGGACATCGTAGGTTAGGTTGGTTGGAAGATGCCGGACGGTGTAAGACGTGTCAACTGAAAACCAAACAGGAGAAATGCGAAACCAACACTGAGTCTACATTCACCGCTTTCGCTCTTTGCGACTCGATGAGCTCCTAAGGTGGCGTACGTATCCACCTGTGAGAGGACAGCTGTGAGCAGAACCTTCCAATGTGCTAACCCATACCTTCCTCATGTGTCGTGCCTCGCTTTCAATCGTAACATTCTCCCCCAGATGACTGCCGTCCTCGAGGACGAACCCAAGAGCCGATGGGTTCACTATCCGACGAGTTCCAGAAGTCACCATGTACTTGAGCTTGTCATTGGGATCGGTGAAAACCCTTGCCCGGAGCTTGTGTATGGATGGAGCCGAGATGGTGGACTGAAACGGTGCAGCATGGGAAAAGCAAAGGCTGAGACAGAGGGAAGCGGCAAAAGCGACCCCTGTCCAGCTGCGGAGGGAAATATCTATCATGTAGGCGCATACCATGGTCTAACGGCTGATGTGTTATTAACGAAACATGTTTTTCTGTAGCGTCTGGGGTTGCCTTGTCGTTGCGTCCACCACGTTTCTGCAGTTGCACTTTTCTGTAGCTGATTCCGATGCGGTTCTGCCTGGACACGTCAAGATGTCATTGCCGTCACGTTGCGTGTGCTCCAGCAGATCTCGAGGTGGCTCTTCCGATCTCAAGCACGCTCCCAACCATCATTCACCAGGCAGTCAAGAGTCAGCGCATCAGTGAGCAAAGCCAATGGGCCCTGTGAGCTCTTCTACGGAAGGGAACCTCTCCCAACCAACCTCACTGACTCGCCTTGCTTCAGTGGGTCAAGCATACATAGCTTGGAAGCGAACGGAAAACAACGGATAGTAGCGTGCCCTGATCAAATGTTTCTTGCCTACTGGCGAGCCACAGCAAAAACGTCAGACCCGGTTGCATTCACGCACACAGCAAGCATAGAGGGGAGATAATGGGACGATCCTAGGCGCCAAGACAATCAGGCACACGTTATTCCCCAGATAGATGCCTCTTTTCTGCCTTCCCAACACCAACGCAAGATAAACGGACGAACGGGTGGAAGAAACACAAGGACAAATCAATGTGAGCATATACAGCGCAAAAACAGCGTCGGCTCTACAGCCCAGGGCAGCCCCTCAGCTCCTGGCGCTTGCTGCAGTTGTCTTGTGTGTAGAAGCTCTGATGCCCTTCATCCTCAGCCGGGCAGCTTGGCACATAGAATCGGCCAGCTCTTGCAAAAGCCCTGTAGGCCCTGTAGAGGTCGTGGCCGCTTCGACTTTCCAAGTGGCTTCTTCCCACTATTAACATCCGCACCAGCTGCGTGTCCACAGGACTTGTTCCCGGCCATTATCTTCCAGCCGTCTCCAGCTTTGGGTGCCTTTCCAACGACAGGCTCCCTATCGCTCTTGAGAAAGCACATCCCATCATCTCCCAGGCCTACGTGGACCCAATAGTTGCACTCCTCCGTGGCTGCGCACCAGTCGGCACAGTCCAGGTAGCTCGGGTACCCATGCGTAGCCACCTCCAGATCGGCACCGGGCGCGTAGTCGAGATTCTCCTCGATAAAACAGCGCACGGTTTCGTCTCTGTCCTCATCGCCCTTCTCGTCATATTTCCCGTCTTTTTTTTGTCTTCCTTCTTCTTTTTGCCTTCCTGTGGGGGCCTCTAAGAACATAAAGGCTGCCGGCAGGAGGGCCTGGCTATGGTCTGAAAAGATCACCCGGATGTCAAGAAGTTTTCCGGCTGGCTTGTCATTTTTCTGCCCTTCTCCCATGACCCCCTCGATACGAGTGTCGTCATAAGCGGCAACTTCGGCTTCCACGCCGCCCACGCTGACCCTCACGGGCTCTCTCCCATTACTTGTGAAGCGGCGGCCTCCAAGCGTGAAAGGGACATCGTACCTGAAAATAACAGGTCCGTGGGTTACATGACAAGGAACAGCGGCAACGTAGGAAAAGCGGCAACGACAGCGGCAATGGAAAAGCGGCAACGTACCTCGCCGGTCCCCGCCACGGAAGGATGTCGTAGAGCACCGGGTCGCCCATCGCGGCCTCATCCGCTTCGAATTTATCTAGCGATGCCTCGTCGGGAGTGATGATCGTCAGCTCGTCTTTGAGAAAAGAAATCAGGACTATCGAGCAAGCGGGCCCGTACATGATGTCGAGGTTCTGCCCTCCGGTGTCACTCGTGAGGACCCTGCTCAAAGAGACAGGTTCTCACGAGAGTACTCTCGAAGGACGTGGCGGCCTACTCGACTGTCTCATCAGCGTTTTCATTGTCTGGCAAGTCAAGGAAGTATACTGCATCCCTCCATCTTGAAACGAGAATGTCGTCCCGCAGCTTTCCACCGAAACACGTCCCCCGGTACTCTGTTACTCCTGTCTGACAAGTTGAGACAGTGACTTGTACATACCCGCAGCTACGACCACTGCTGTTCCACCCTCATTAGGCTTACTGTAGACGAAGGAATCTCCCATCCAGGGGTGTATTCAATGTCGGGCCTCAGGACGTGGTGGTACCTAATGACCAAGAACACGGGGGCTTGGACAGGCGCTGTAAGGTACCCACGAAAACCAAGAACACGTTACTCACCATTGCTTTTCGTCACCGGCATTCCTTGCTCTTGCTGGATTGGGATGCCCATGATGAGCTCCCTCGAAGCTTCTGAATATCCTATCGGGTCCCGAAAAGGCTGGGCCGATCACTGGCTGACATTCCTTAGGTTGCTCCCCGTTAGGCACAGTGTAAGGCTTCGGCAGATAGAGCGGATTCCGGACATTGTATTGAGGAATCTCGTCCCTACAAGGCAGCTCAGGTAGGGTGCAGGTGCAACATCGGATATCTAGCTCATCCGTGCTTCCTTTACCATGTGTCAAAATCTGCTGCTGTACAACCTGTCCCTCGTGGTTCGCCATTTACAAATGGCCCGAGAGGCTGGTTGGGACCGTTCATGATGATGTATGTCTCGCCTGAATGCATATGGACGACATGAATCTACCCATGTGTATGACGCAAGTGCTACAGCCTCTCGCCACGAGTGCACCTTTTGTTGAGTAAGTAGAGTCGTAGTTGTTCCGCAGCCCTGTCGCCCAGATTGAAATACCCGTCATGCCATCGGCCAAGTCATAGCGGTCTCCCTCGACCTGAAGGTGAGAGCAGGCGGGTCAGTTGGCTGGTGACTTCGTCGGCCGTTGCACCTGGTTCGGATTCTCAACGGGTTCACGGGTCTTGTGATAGACATATTCAATCTTCCTGCTCAGATTAGGGTTGTGAACCTCTATCTATGACAAAGGCAAAAACATGATAGCATGTACGACATGTACGTGATTAGCATCCTCAGCTCCATCCGTACCTTCAGCAGCCCACCGGTCAGGTGAGACTCTGGCAAGCCGCCAAGCCTAGAAGGCCAGTGAAAACGAATAATCATACACTTCACTCTCATGGATTCTATCTGCGCCGCACCCGCAATCTGGCAACGCAGCGATAGACAAGAGTGGTGTGGAGGCACTCGTCTGGTGTAAATGGTCAACTCACCCGGCCATCCCGCATTTGTTTGTGAGCCGGCATTCACATACAGGTTCCCCTCGTTGTCGAAGTGCATACCGTTCATGTTATGGTCACCATTGCCATTAGGAAGGCCCTCAATGAGCGTCTCGATTATGGAGAAACCGGGACCAGACAGCCGTGAGATTTTCCCAAGAAACGGGGCATAGTCATTCTCTCCATCAAAGCATGGGACCCCCTGCCTCCACTGAAACACCAGAGTTGCATACAGTGCGTGACTCATTGAGATGCCTCACCCAGTAGTAGACCGGTGAGTGCGAGACATAGAGATGCGGATCGGATGGGTCTTGCAGAGGATCGACTGCAGGCAGAATATGAATTCTGCTACCCCATGTGCCCTTTTCTTTGTGTATTCTGGATGTATGCCCGTGTGTGTGTTTGTCTGTGGGTGTGTCACATACAGGCGATGCCGATGGGCGAATCGTCGGGGTATCTTTGGTGGATCGCATCATTGACCTTTACAGACTCGCGATCTATCTCGTCATTGCTCGTAAACTTCACGCTCAGGAGCTTCCCTGGAGCTGTGCCGACAAAGAAGGTCCGTGCATCTGGGGCCCATGCGCCCGTCAGACCAAACCCTCCCCTGAGGAAGGGCCGCCAATACAGATCTGGCCAAGAAAGTAGATACTAGCCGAGTCAGGTGCAAACCTTGTGTGTCACCTTCTTCGCTTATTCCATCAGACGCATCCTTGTTGACCAAATCGAAGAGGCCAGTCAGGAGGGTTTTTGGCGACTTGTACTTGATGTCGCCCATCTGCCCAGCCGCCGAGACCTTCATGGGGTATGCATTGGATTCTCCTTTCCTTGTCTCGACTCGAAGCCCACTCGAATCGGTCTCGTCGACCTGAATAGGGTAGAATGATAGAAGGGCGACCGGTCAGTCTCACCTTTTCTTCCGCTTTGGTAAGTGGAGTCTGACCTGGTGTGTCCGGTATGTGATGCGTGTCGCGCTCCATTCCACTATCCCGGCATTTTCACTGTCACTTTCTGATTCCTCGTCACGATTCACCTCACGGCCATTCACGTGGAGCTTCGCGGCCTCCAGGCTCTGAAGAGAAGGAGGCGCCAACAAGAAGCTCTTCCTTGGGGATTGCCTTGCGACAGACAGCTGGCTGGCCCCCAAGGGAACTCTTCATACCTCTGGATTCAAGAAGCCTGCTCCATAAATTGTTATTTCTTGTCCGCCCTTTGGATCAATCACATCCGGGGTCACCTTATTGACGAAGGGAGGCCAGTCTCTGCAGAAATCAAGAATGCGAGATCTAGTTTGCCATTGGAAGGATGGAAAGGTCGCCAAAGGTAATCGAAGCACTGATGTACCTCTGGCTGTGGACCATGCGCCAGCGGTTCTTTCCTTTGGCCTCAAGCCGCACTCCGTCTGGCGACGACCCCGCCTCTCCCACAAGCCACCGAACCTCGAAATCCACTCGATTGTCGCCGGTTACCTCTTGGTCAAGCTGAGACAGGTTGATCGTTCGAGACTCACCCTCGACCTCCTTGCCATTGATCCACACAGCGGCTTCCTTTCCTCCCTCCACATTCAGCTTCATCGTGTCAAGCGACGCACCATCGAGAATTTCAATCGATCCCTGGCAGAGAGGCAGAGACAGACAGACAGCCAGACAGACAGCACCACACAGTACGACCATGCGAGGATTGACTGCCCGGCAGACAAGCAAGAAGCGGCTATCTTTGTTCTGCCTTCAGTTTCTGACCATTGCCCGTATGATGATATCTTCTTTGAATTGTGGATCAAGGAACGAGCTTGCCATATCAGGGATAACTTGGCATGACTCATACGGCCCCAAGGCGTCTGCGTCTCGGCTGTCCCCAGCAGCTGTGATGCTGGCGGTCACCCACTGAGGAGACAAGGCCTCCTCTCCCTGGCGCAGTGCAGCAGAAATGGGTTCCCCGGCATCGATGTACAGCCACTCAGACGTGTCTAGCATGTCATCAGCGTCACGGTCTCCCATGGAGTAGAGCGAGAGAGCACAACCTGGAACCTCCTCGATTGTTGTCACGTGAACGACGTGATCGGCTCCGGATAGTCGGCGACCTTCCTGGTCGCCGATCGTCAGCTTTGCCCTGTGCTCACCGATGTCAAGACGCGTAAGGAACTCCCGCACGCAATTTACTCCGTCTTCAGGGCATTCCTGCAACAAAGACAGAAGCTGAACGCTCTCATATTGGGCCACTATTGCCATGCCGCTCACGGTATCTTCTTCAACGTTTCCATCGACTTCGAATATGTACCTCGTCACACGTCCTCCCCATTCGTGCGTATGGGATCCGGTGGCCTGAAAGGAAGACAGTCGTGGCAAGCAAAGCAGTTCCTTGCGTGTTGGCTTCACGGACATCGAATACAACTGTTTCAGAGCCGTCGCCTTCATCATCAACTAAGACTCTGTCGACAGCCATGACAGGATGAAGGAGATTGTCCGGTGCCAGAAAGACTGGCGGAGAGTCGCGAGGTACAAGGGCTGCGAGGAAGGCATCCGACGCCACCACCGTGCTGGGACGACGGGGAAGCGGCGAGTACTTGGACAAATGAAGAAAAACAGACGAAAGACAACATGAGACAACAGCCAGACAGACTGCGTGTGTCAGCGCACCTCCGTTGCAGGTGAGGACGTTCCTACAACGACAACTCGTCCGGCGGATGCATGGGACGCTGCCAAAAGCTCCTTCGGCTCCGTGTTGTCAGCCGACGACAACGAATCGAGCAACGCAGCCAGAGATTCCCCGCGAGGAAGGGCGATTTCTGTGAACTTCGTAGGGGGAGGCTTCATCCTTCCTATGAGGAGCACCCACATCTGACGCCGCAGAAGGTGTCAATGAGAGGCAGGCAAGTTGCTAATGCTCCCGATTGACAAGAACTCACGTCAAGTCGGAAACGGATGAAGCCGATTTGTGTCTCCGGCCTTTGTCTGGCATTGTCCTGCTCAATCCCCTCTCCCTCCCGTGTCCGACCGCCCTTCCATGTGACCGTGATCTTGACAGCCTGACTTGGCTTGATGTCCTCGATGTATTGGTCGTCGCCTCCAGACACTTGAAAAGTGAAGGCCTCCGAGTCGCCCTCCAATTTGGGATAGAGCTTGCCTGACGACCTTTCAGGATCCTCATTCACCAGATCGAAGGTAGCGCTCGCATTAAGGGAGCTGAGATAGAATGTCGGATACGGCTGCGTCATGTCAGGGGGACGTGACACGGAAGAGACAGACAGACGGACTGGAGCTGAAGGTGCGGGAGGAAACATGAAGGATCCGTCCTCGTGACACACAGCAAATCTCCTGCCCACAAAGACTGGGTCTTCAGCATCGGCAACGCAGAGAGGAAGCAGGGGGGCTGCGTACGAACACAGCCGAAAAGCTCAACACATACAGCAGCTGGTCACGTGGCTGCCTCGCAGCTTACCTGCAGGTACATCCTTTTTGCTTTCGTCTCCTTTTCGCACGGTGTTCACAAATGGTGCTGAAAGCGCAGGCGACATCCGGGCGAAAGCCACTATTGCTACGTGTAATGTGACAAGTACTCCCATCTGTACATATTATAATAGCCGGTGGTAGCTTGTGTGGTAATTCCGAGTATTAACGCCATCTATGGCTTTGTAGACGACCAAGTCTCCTCCTTAGCAGGTAAGCAGGTACGATACGCTGGTGAGGGTCCCCAATGAAGAGCTGGAGAGACGTGCGCGTCTGCTCGTACCTGTGACCCCTGGCTCAAGGAAAGGTATCCAATGCCGCCAACAGAGGACGCGTACCGATTTGTCAACTCTGGGGGCTATGTCGGTCGTGCGGGTGTCCTCGCTCTCTGGGTTTAGGATAATTGGTCATCGGGAGAGGATGATCAGCTCTTCTTCACAAGACGATTTTTGGACAACGACATTGGTCATGGCGTGACGATCAAGCTGGACTACGAGCGTTTGCTGTTCCAGGCTCTCACCAGGGCCCTGGCCACGTATCGCTCGCGAGATGGAGAGACGAAGGTGCATGGACTGACATTCGCCCGCGCTGACGGCAAGCATGCCGCAGCAATCCTTCACGGGAATCGCCTTATGAATAGCCCAGGATGGTCCTAGCGGTGATTTGTGCGCATCCGACAAGCAGCAACAGTGAATTCATTGAGGCGCTGACGGCGATGCACGTCGACTATGACAAGACGGCCATTTTCGTGTCGCACGGCCCGTCCTGCGACCTGCACCTGGATGAAAGCTTCAAGATGAGATTTGCAGGCGTGCAGGAGCATCGAGAGCCGTCCAACGGCACAGATGCCTACCAGCGAGCATTTCTTCTCCTGCGTCAGGTCAAGGCGTCACAAGTATTGATACTCGAGAACAGCTTCGTCGTTCAGCAGCATGACCCTATTCAGCAGCTCACGCAAGACAACCTGCCGGCGGTTGTGCCGTTGGCTCGGCAGTCTTCGGCGGGTGGTGCCAATTTCGGCTTCGACAAGGGCTCTCACCACGAGGAGGACCGTGATAAGTTGGTCAGCGGCGAGCGTCAAGGGCTGTGGCCAAACGTGTCGGTGCTTGATTCTCTCTTCTTGGGAAGCTAGCCTGAGCGTCAGAGAATTTGCCCGACTGGGAAGCAGCTTGAGCGTGAGAGAATTTGCCCGACTACGTCATGGCACGCATTCACTTAGAAAAACACGTCGGTCCGATGAAACCATGGACAGTCGAGTACAGCGCCCCAACCCAGGCATGAACGCAATTTGGGGACGGCTGGCATGACTACAAGGAAAAGGATGGCACTAGCGACGGCTGGTGCGAGGACAAAACATCCATATTCCTGGACAATCGGCACACATTTGGGAGGTTGCTGACCTGGGCAGTGCAAGACAGTAAAATGGTGATGAGCCTTTAAGAGCTGTTTGCAGTGTGACGTTGGCACTGTCTCCGTGATTCGGCGGATTGAGTGTCTGCGTAAGCGATACTCATGTCTACATTGCACGAACACACACGTATTAACCAGTTCCAAAGAAGTTCATCGTCTGCTCTCACAGCCTCGGACTCGCTATGCTCGTTTCCTTAATTTCTCCCCCTCCATCTGCTTGGTCACGCCACACCATCTCGTCCCCCCTGACCGGCAGTCTGTATGTCTGCCACAGCTGACGCACCACCTCCGTCTTGTTCGGAACCTCGGGAGGGACACCCGTGCCCCTCGAGCGCTCGATGTTCTCAACGAAGGCATTCCGGTAGGCGAGTGCCTCCCAAAGGGTGCGTAAGATGCACGCGACACTCGCACCTCCTTTTGTCCCGATGGGAAACAGCTACACTCAACACAGGCAACCCAACCACAGAGACAGTCGTCCAGTCACTCATCCTTTTCTCCTGTCCGTGCCTCACCTTGGTGGGTCTGTTCCTTTCCCGCGCCGACTCCCTCTTCACCGATCCGTCAATTGGCACCAGAACTCCAACATAGAGGGAATAAACGACCCCCCCACCACTAAACATGACTGACTCGGACCCTCATCACTCAGCCCCTCGTACGCATGAGGGGAAATCCACATCTCCTGACTCATCTGACTTGCCCAGGCTCAGCTGCAGCATGCAGTCCTCAGCTCATTCCCAACCACTCGCCACGTTCATCACAGACAGCCGCACCGACTGAGAACCTGTCCGGCAGGGGCGATAGCCTCCCCGAATTCATCTAAAGAGAGCAGCACGATAAAGAGACACACGACAGCGAAAGAAACCCGCAGCGTCACCATTTTCTCGAGTGCTCGTGTCCTTCCGCAGAGACAATACACCTCAGAAGCAACTTGTGTGCAACGGAGCAGAACGAGAAGAGGAAACACAAACTCTGAAGACAACTCGAAATGGGCAGAGATGCTGCGTGAGGTTTTTGACACAAGGGAGATACGTCTTTTTTTCCCTATGTAGATGCATGAAACGGGCGACGAAGTTCGTCTAAGCATCAGTCCGTATCGAGCAAATGAAGCGAAACAATACATGCAGAAACAAAGGACAGCGCTCGTTGACTGCGAAAACATGTCGCACACTGCAAACAAGCGCGAGACATGCAACATGACACACACATTCAGAACCCAGGTCCAGCCAGCCACCTTACAGCCCCGCAGCGGGGCTGGTGTGTGGCCTGTATGGCCCGCGGCTGACGAAGTCCTCCGGAAACGCGCTGGCCCTCCGTGGCCCTCTGGCGGCCGCAGCGCATTGTGCACGACTCGCCACTTGGAAGCGTTGTGCTTCATCAGCTCGACGAACAGGAGCTGGCTCCAGTGGTTGACGATGCTCTCTCGGAAAGCTGTGTCCTCCTCCATGGGAATGGATGTGGGGCGGGGCTTTCGTTTGGCGAGCATCTTGAGAAAATCCATGGTCTTGTCTCCCCATCTGCCGAATGTCTCCGCAGCGAGGGGCACGAAGCGGAAGCCGGCTGCTTGGGTGATTGGTCCATACTTGTCGATCTTGTCTTTCTCCGCAAGCTGAGCCGCCTTGCCACCTGGGAGCTGTGCACCACGCCGGTTGACTGTTCAGTGGAAGGGAATGGGGGAGTTGTCAGGGCGGCAGGGGTGGGCGACGGTGACGTCGAGCAGGTATTCACTGCCGTCGATCACACAATAGATGTCCATGCGCTGGTTGTTGGGATTGTCATCGGGCGGGGTGATGCCGAGGCTGTGCAGAGACACTTCCACATTGGAGGGAACATCTGCTTCAGCCAGGATGCGAACAAACAAGTTGCGCATGTTGTTGTGTCTCGTGACTCGCTCACGGCCCGTGTGACACACGGAATAGTGATCGCCAAACTTGTCCACCTCCCCGCCGCAGATGCATCGCTGCGAGACGGTTGCGTGCGGGAGGGCAATGCCGAGACACCCAGCGACGGCATGGCGATACTGGAAGTTGTTCAGTGTCTTGCTATCGCTGGAAGGGATTGCTGACAGCCAACCAGACCAAAGAGGCCCTTGGCAGCTCAGAAGACGGGCGCGGGCTCTGCTGTCGGCGGGGAGGGAGTTGAAGAGCTCGTTGAAGCGGAACTAGGGAGATACGTCTCTCTCTCGCCCTGCCTGACCCTCTGTGACACACACACCTACCCATCTGCCTCAGGTCGCACACTGGCGAATATAATGAGGATCGCCATTTAATTACATGTAACCTTGTTCTGCATTAATTGACATAGAAGATGGCGTCCCAGCTTCTTGCGCCGATCTCTTTGCGCCAGTTTACTCCCAGTGGCGCCTCGCAGTGTTGTGGAACCTGTCAGCGCTGCTCGGTGCCTGTCCACGTGCCTGTCCACGTGCCTATCCGCACGGGTGGCTTTGACGACATTGAGAAGGCTGCAGCTGTGAGTCAGAAGCCGTACTCATCTGCCATCGTTTGGGTCGTCTGGGTCCTTATCGCTGTGCTCGGCTTATATCTTTCGTGGTACTTTCTGGTCGGCCCGTGGCTGCAACGCCGTAAGCAGCACCGCGCCAACCGGAGTGCGGCCCGCTTGATCGCTCAAGAAGCCGCTGAGAAGGGCAAGGGCAAGGGTCCTCAAGGCGACAAGGGACGCTCAGGGCACCCTTGCGTGCGGACACAGGCTCACACTCAGCCGCCAGGCACCATCCGTCAGCCTCTGATCGCCTCTGCTACTGGGAGAGCGAGAGAGCAGAGAGGGAGGAGGATCGAGAAGGCTGCAGCTGCACCTCAGCCAACCTCGGCAACCAGCCGCGAGGAGAAGGCAGCACCACCGCCATGTGTCGCCTCACGTACGAGCAGCACAGAGCGGTCTTCCATTGAGGACAGGCAGAGAGCAGTGCTTGCTCAGCTCAGGCGTGACCTGAGGGACACTGTGGCTAAGGAAGAGAGGTCAGCACTTTTCTGCAGTTGATGTATGGGGCCGGGAGGAGGGGTGGGCTCGTCGTGGCATTGCTCTCTGTGTGCCTGTCTGCAGTTTGGCGTCGTCTTATGCTGCCTCTGTAGAGAGCCATGCTCGCGCCACGCAGCGTGTGAATGAGCTCACCGAGGCCATCCAGCAGCTGAAAGAGCAGACCACCACTCACAAGTGAGCATTTAATAGCAGAGCCACGCACAGCGGTGCCTAAGCACACGGTGTTCCTTCTCTGCTCTTTAGCTTGACTCGTGATGCCTTGATGGCTCTGGGCACCTCATCTGCCGTGCGCCACTTCGACGAGCGGATCAGCACAGAGGAGTGGCGGCTGGTCGGACTGATGGAGCGGCTAGATGACATGGACAAGACAAGAGTACTACAGCAGCAACATAGTAGTGGTGGTCGCGATAGTTTGTGTGTGACGCAGCCGTCCTCTGCCAGTACGGAGGCACCTGCATCAGAGTGAGTCAGCGAGAGCAGTGGAGACCGTGTCAGGCATCACTACTCATTTGTGATTTTGTCAGGTCTGAGTTGGTTGGTGACGAGTTAGGTCTCACCGAGACTGAGCTGCGACGTGTGCTCAGATCGACAAACGACCATATCACACAGTGAGCCGACGAGACGTACGAGTGCATCCCCAGCTTGTATCTGTGTTGGTCGCCTAGGTTGGACCGAGATATAGCTCGTGTGCAGTCCCAGTGTGAGTCAATCCAGGAGCAAGTGAGGCGACTGGGAAAGGAAAAGGACGGCCTGTCCAAACAAGCAGCGACGGGGTAAGGAACAAGACACACAGAGAGAAAGACGCCATCACCAACACGCTGCACCGCTCTGTCTATCAGGTTGACGGCTTATCGTGTGTCTCTCGTCAAGACCTGTGCTGACGTGGATGTCTTCAAGCGCGAGATAGAGATGGCCCTGCAGCAGCTGCGCGCACTCGGCAAGGAGACCAGCAAGCAGGAGGGAATCCTGCAGCAAATGGAGCAGACGGCGGCAGAGCAGGCCATGAGGGATGGCACTTGTGTCGCCTGTCTCGAGCGACCACCATCTGTGGTCTTCTTTCCCTGCAAGCAGCGGTGTCTGTGTGCCGGCTGCTGGGCCAAGATATCGCACAATCACGAGAGAGCCAAGCGCGAGGCGGAGCGGCTGAGGCAGGCGGGACGGGACGACAAGGCATGGCCGATGTACGTGAGACGCGATGCGGAACTGAGGTGTCCGGCGTGCCTCACAAAGGCCGTCTTTGCATGTGATGTGGAGGACATCAAGGCGACCACGTGACGTACTGCATGACGGAGGAGAGATGGGTCTGGACGGCCAGGGGGTGGGGGGGCTAGTGCATACGCGAGAATTAGCTGACTCGTGACGGTGTTCGGTCGCATTTCACTTCACCATTTTATTATTAGCCAAGTACTCTGATTCGTACGTGTGTCACAGCGTGGAGCTTGGCCACCACATGAATGAATGAGAGGGGAGAGAACAGGGACTCGCCAGGGGGAGGAGGAAGGCTAGGTTGCCTGTGGCCTGTCTGTTTTGCTTGTTTGCCTGCCTAGCTCATGACTCAATCGCATTTGCAGAGTCCGGCACAAGACGTACACTGCTAGTCCGTGAATCGGCCAAGACATCGCTCTGACCGTTCGTCCTTCCCTTACGCATTAAGCCTACACGACACAGGCAGGCACGGCACACACATCGCTTGTCTGTCCCCCGTTAAATCGGATTTTTCTAGTCAGCGGCTGTGTGGGTTTGCTGCGGGTCAGTGTGCGTCAGTGTGCGTGAATGAATGAAATGAATGAATGGGGAGAGACATGCGGATGTCCTTTGATGTATCACCTTCCCAACGACACCTTCCGCTCGGGCGAGGCCCACCGGCTAAGAGGTGTCGTTGGGCGAAGCCCGAAGGGCCAAACCGAATGAGTTTAGCCTGCAGAGCCTTTTGCCACAGTAATTTTCAAATATGGAGCTGACGACAAAGAGAACGGAAAGCGTCAAGGAGACTAACAAGGACATCCCATACATCCCTTAACATCCCTTGACTTTGCGATTTTTTGAATCACCTGCCTTTGAAAAGGGGGCGTTGGGGTTGGGGAGGCGAAAAGGTGAAGTAGATATATGAACGGGCGACGAAGTTCGCCTCAGCATCAGTTCGTATCAAGTAAGCAAAGGGAACCCAATCATGCAAAGCCAATGAATAACGCTCATTGACTGCAAACAAATGCATGTTACACACTGCAAATACGCGTGAAACATGCATCACCATACACACACTCACACAACTCAGATGCAGCCAGGTCCACTTACATGTTACTTCAAGTGTGAGATGGGACCGGTTCGCACCGGAGCAGTGTATAGGAGCGTTAGTTGCGCTCGTAACCTATTGACTATTGAGCGCACGTATACGACTGCGCCATTGAGTGCCAGGCTGCATATCCCCATGCAGGGCTGGCCCCACATTACATGCATTGCGGCCTGCGGAGTTATCGATTAATTTTTCCACAAAGCGGATGGCATTGAGGCTGCGCAACGATTGGGGATCTCAATTCACCTTTGACATCACCACCTCAATCTGGTTGATAAGATATTCACTCAATTCTTGACAACAACCACTGTCTGGACAGACAAGCACCTGGCTGACTGCAACAAAGACAGAGCAAAGACAGAGCAATGAAGAAGTCATTCGAAGTTTCAGGATGTCTTTGTGCCAATCTCGCGAGAACGCCAAGGGAAAGGCCGTCGCTCCCTCGCGCGCTGACAGACGCAGCACCACAGACGCTTTTGAGAATCGGTGAATGTCTGTCAGTTTGGATTACTGCTTCATGCCTCTGAAATAAAAAACAACCCATATGGGAAGCTCAACGAACGAACGAAGCCCTTTTCTCTTTCTCTTTCTTCTTCTTGTCGTGACTGACTGCTGTCCCTACAATGTAGACGCGGAGAAATCACTTCGCGGCCAGATGTATCCAAACATCATTTTTCATGGCCGACGATTTGGGCTACGGCGACCTTGGAAGCTTCGGCCAGCAAGACATCAAGACGCCGCATCTCGACAAGATGGCGGCGGAGGGAATGCGCTTCACCGACTTCTACGCGGGCTCGACGATCTGTTTGCCTTCTCGCTTCAGTGTGTGGACAGGCCAACACACGCCAACACACGGGCGAAAGCGACAGGCTTACCAGTAGCTTTCGCCGCAATGGGCCCCCCTTCCCCTCTGATCCAATTCCTCCCATCACTTTCCCGAACATCGTCGCAATCTGCTTGCTCTGTGCGATCCAGTAGACTGAGAACACCCTCGTGGCCCTCCTCTTGCGTCTCCCGCAGAGATCGCTAGAGGGTAAGAACTCGACGGAGGTCAGCGGAGTAGCATCGTACTCCCCTCCGACGGCCACGAGATACATATCATCGATAGCCACGACTCCATGCGCTGCGCGAGGCTGATTTAGAAGCGGGCCCTCATACCAGCTCATCGTCTGGCAGGGTCATCTGCCTGCCACGACGTAGATGCCTTCATCGAAGACGGCGGCGCCGATATGCCCAAGGTGCACTGGTGGGCCATCCTCTCGTCCCACTCGTTGATCGATGCATTGAACACCGTCATCGAAGGAAGCGGGACGTCAGTGCTGAGGTCTTTCCGCACGCCGTTATCTTCTATGCCACCAATCACGTAGACATGGCCGTCACGTGTGACCGCTGCTCCAGCCGCTCGTGTTGTAGGCATGTTCGGCAGCTCAGAAATGCTGTCACTCGTCATGTTATACAGCCAAGCGAGGGCAGTCGCATGGTCTCCCAACTAGCCATCAATCCCTTCATTACAGATACAGTACACTGCAGCAATTTTCTCTCTCTGCAGAAAGTGTTGGGTCACCTCCAAGGATGACAATGCCGTCATTGGCCGGCGAGGGGTAAACACTTGCCATAACATGGTGTCGGCCTTCAGGCAGTGGAGAGAGGTCACTCCACTCCCTCGTGTCAGGATCGAAGGCCCTGATCTGATCCATGGCCCGGCCTTCACTTCCGATGTATCCTGACCGATGAAAACCAAGAAATATAGTGTAGAAGGGCTCCTGAGTTCTCACCTCCGACAGCATATATTTTTCCCTGGGCCGTCAATACCGCATGATCCCAGTGGTACGGATGCGCCATTGATGGCCCCCGTTGCCATGACCCTCCGGTGATGTTGCACGGGACGGAGGGGAGGGCCTTGAGGTGAACAGGCTCGGACAAGCCGCTTATCTTGACAGCCCAGGACTCTGAAGCTCCATTGGCCGAGCACAACTCAAGCCACCGATCCAAGTCGGTTCCTTGAAGCACGCGAGGGGCGGCGCCAACATACCAGGGAATCACAAATACCCTCACGACATGAGCAAGGAACTTACCTATCAGAACAGCGAGAAGGAGTGTGACCATCATTCCCGGAGAGGGCGGTTTCACAGACTACCCACTACCCACGTGCCCATCCAGCCGGTCAAACATCAATGAGCTCGCAGATTTCCAGCATAAACCGCTGCTGCTCCAGCATAAATACGCGCAAATATTGATACACGTGAATATTGACGTCACCAAGAGATCTTGCCGGGGAGAGGCTGAATGCGTTAATCTGGCGAAGACAGCCCCTCCCTCCCTCTTTCCGGTGGATATTCACTCAATTGCAGAAGCAGCGTTGATAAATTCCATGCAACAGTTCACTCTCAATAAGCCTCAGAGGTCCTTTTTTTTATGATGGTAACGCCGAAGCTTTGAAACGCGTGGTAACGCCATTCCGAAACTTTGAAACGTCGCGACGTCAAAATCAGCTCAAAAATGCGACCGGCGATAAGCTTATCCGCGTTCCTTATCCTCTTCGCTGTGGTGCTCCCCCTGGTAGGAGCACAGGGCACAAGAGATGACGACGGAAGACAAATTAAGAGACAATGTGACGGGGAAGGGTGTGGAGCTCCGCCTCCCCCCAGGGTGCCTACGCCTGAGACTGGCTACTGCGACACTGAAGAATTCCCAGACTTGGGTCCTGCCACGGACCCGGCACGCGTTTGCACCCCAATCGACGATGACGATGACGATGACAATGACGATGACGATGACGATGACGATGACGATGATGACGACCGCCGCCGCCGGCGTCTCAGGGATAAGTCTGCCATGAAGCGACGCCTTCAGGATGACGACGACGATGATGACGACGGTAAGGTCGGGAGGGGGGAGGGGGAGGAAGAGGGAGACACAAGAGTACAATTTCCCTGCTTTGTCCACCTTCTTTAGACGATGAAGACGGAAAACCGCTGCAAGAACGTTGTGAGAAAGCCCGTTGTTGTTTTACGGAGGAACCGGTTGACGGCGAGCAGTGCTTCTTCTCGAGTAAGGATAGAAGTCTGAGCCCCAAAGATGGCACATGTATGTGTTGCCATGTGCTACGTTGTGTCTCCTGTTGCAGAATGCCCATTGGGCGACGAGGGGCGCGAAGAGCAGCTGGTAAGACACGAAAGAATATAGCTGCAAGTGATTGATTGTGGTAGTGATATCTTTCTTTAGATGACCGATGCCTTGTTGAATC